ACCTTTAATTCCGAGAAAATGTTGGGTTCCCGAGGGATTCTCAAAAAACTAAAGATAACGCAGAGGAAGTCGCGGGACACTGCTATTAACGTTATAATATAAAGTACTTTTATAATATAAGTTATTTAAAGAACCATAACCCGGCAACAAATTTGCATGCTCAGCACATTAATAAACAGCTCTACGAAACGGAATTCGAATAAAGGACCTTTGAAGCAGAATGTGTTTTAACAACGAAATTTATGAAAATAATTAATTCTAAGCGAAATTCTTTCGTTGTCAAGGCCACCGCGGTATATAAACTTGAGCAAACACAAAATCGTTTAAAGTAACATCGGCTCTTAAAACTAATGTATTTTTATTGTTTTAAACATTCATGGTCAATAATATTATAACTATTAATGGGATTGTTACCATGTACCTTGTACCAAAAAGTGTCACAGATTCTACGGTCTCCCAAAGACAACTTCCCGTTGGAGAAACCTGGTGTATACAAGATCGACTGTAGCTGTGGTAGTTTGTATATTGGCCAAACGAAGCGGACAATAGCATGCCGACTGAAAGAACACATAAAAGCATCCAGAAATAATGATACGCAAAAATCAGCCATCGAGGAACATTTAATTGATTGGGGTCCTAATTACTGGATTGAGCTCCATAATCCACAAATTATCTCGACAGAACGCCACTACATACCAAGATTGGTCATGGAAGCGATTGAAATAACCAAATACAAGAATTTCAATCGTGAGGATGGGTTTAAATTGTCAGGTGTCTGGAATCCAGTGGTTCGTATGTGTAAAAACCGCAAATATCAAAAAAATGTCCTTGCGCGATCTGATACTGTGAGTATTGTGTGTTGGGAACAGGTGCGAGTGAATAGTGAACATGTGACCAGTGGTAGGGGTACCGATCGCAGTAAAAGACGACGTCAGCGGGTAGACCGCTATGTCTGCCAATAACATCTACCCGCAATTACTTCAGTTACTCCGTGATCATGGCGCTTGCAACAGTGCCGAAATATCGGAGACTCATAAAAAACAAGGTAAGTACTACATGGTAACCATCCCGTTAATAGTTAAAAAAATATATATTTTTTTTATTCATCGCTAAAGAGAAGCCAGTGACTTTGGTTGTTATGACTGGCCAATAATTTGCCGTCCAACTAGTAAAATAATCGAATAAACATTCTTTTATTTCTCTGAGAATTGAATCAATATTAATAGTTAGATTTAAGTCTGTACCTAGATTAAAATAGACGGCGCCTGTAAGTACTTCAAACTGTATGGGAAACAAGCGTGTCAGATTCTGCGGATCATGACATTACGTCACATAACGTGACTCGTGACATGACGTCACACTTTCGTGCGTGCAGCCGGGGTTCATCAAATTATAAGACGTTAGTCTTAGAAGTACGGCGGGCTGATTCACAACTCGACACCAAGTGCCTATTTTGGGATGGGATTGGCATCAGTCCTGCCATCCCAGCTCCTTCAGAAAGCCGTCAGAAAAACTAGAATCCGTGGTTTTCCCAGTAGAGAAGTCCTTTGTCTTGAAACGCCTCTACTCTCCATCAGAACATGGGCGCTCGTCTCACACTTCTCCAGCAGATTCTGTACAGAGGGCTGTCAGAAATACCTATATTGCAAAGGTGTTTGATAAAATAGCTGTGATTGTGAGTGTACCCACGATTTGTTTAGGGCTTGTCTTGGTAGTCTGATTAGTTAACGTGATAGATATAAGGCGAAAATTTTAAAATGATTTCATTTATCTACACAAAAATGCAGCTCTGAGCAATTTAAAAAGATGGTTCTTTTTTTTTACTATGATGGCTGTGCGCTAATGGTTTTTAAATGTCTGTTGAAATATTGTTTGTGTTTTCATTTAAAAACTGCCAGTGATATGCATGAAATCTCCTTAGGGTGAAATAATAATGTTATATAAAACTAGTTTTAACGGGTTAATGCACGAACTTTGTTTATTTATTGACGTTTCGCTCGTCATAATAATGATTTTTTATTTACTTTGTCGAGCTACCTTCATAAGACTTTTTTTGAGCGTTCAGATATTTCATTGGAAGATTTTTAAAACTTTATTGTCTATGTATGAATTTATTAGTTGATAATAAAGTACTTTATTTAAAATTCTTTTATGTAATTTTGAGTTTATTAATTTGACCCTAACTACCGTAAACTACCACCGGCTCCAAAATTGGGAGACCTTCCTGAGAAGAACCGTCGAAACAAAATTAGAGAGGCTTTCTATGAGGCATGATTTAACATAAGAAGGAGATAGAAAGCCTCTCTGAGTTTGTTTCGCAGATTAATTAATTTTTGTTGAGTTTTTTTAAATTAGGTATTCACGTAGTAGAAAAAATCATATTGTGCGAATGAGAAGGTAATAACTTACTTAACTTGAAGGTGGTAACTTACTAAAAAAGACAAATTTTACAAAAAGGCTTATAACGACAGCCTATTGCTTAACCGGTACGTTGGTTAAACAAACATCAAGTAGCTTTTTCTTAGATAATTATTCGATTGAAGGAGCGAATAGTAATTATGTTTTTAATGAACTTCAAATATCGTTATCAGTCAATTTGTGTTTTGACTTGATGTTGACTTTGCAAACGGAAATGAATTACCAATTGGGCTGTAATTATTAAGTTCACAAGGCGAAATTATTTCGCAAGCTTGAAGTCAGCACAGTCAAAGTAATAAGTACTAAAGAACATTTTTTTTATCTTATCGTTATTATAAAGCTCTACTTATATTTCCTAGACGTCAATAAATTTCAAGATCGATTGGATATTATGAAAAAAAAATGGCGCCACTTTGATTACCATTAAAATTGTATTGACATCTCAGAGTGCGGCAGTTAAGGAAAAATAAAATACTATCTTAGTGAAACCTAATGCTAATTATGGCATTTTCCTTCCTCTTTTCGTCCTTCGATCCTTTTCGACGAAAGTACTGTTAACACGAGTAAAGCAGCGACCAAAATGTCGTCAAGTTACGGAAAACGCTCATAGTTAAGAAGAAGAACAAGCGGCCAAGATATTGTAAGGAAAACGCGAAAAACGAAAATCAAAGCGCTCCAGACATTAAGCTTAGTAGCTAACTTTTATGTAAAAAAAACTTTTAATTATATATTATATCAAGCTTTGTTAGTTCCGTACAATAAATCAAATGTTTCATAAATATTATGAAATTCACAACAATTAATTAAATTGTTTATTGCTTCTTAATAAACTTCCCAGTTAGCGTTATCAATCTCGAATTTCCAATCAAAAAATGAAACTTTTCGAAGCCAAGCCCAAGATCTGTTGAAGTTAGATACTCCATACAACACTTTACTATATTTTGGAATACAGGAAGACTCGAATGTTGCCGAGTACCTAATTACATTCGTACGATTGTAGAGCGCTGTTTAATTAACTTAAACACAGGTCTCCACGTCTTCTAAATAATAATACACTTGACGAACTTTGGTTCCCTTTTGCTTTATCCCGCGTAGCTCCTAAAAATTATAATACGCGCCTTCTCATACATATAAGAAAAAGGTTATTACAAGGTAATTTGCATCAACTCTTTCAAAGCCATTTACTTCTACAAAGCAGGGTGTGACTCGGAGATATAAAAAAAAACGACGGGTTGCTCCCGGGAGTGCCGGCAGAAGTGAAAAGTTGCATATTAACGTTGTGCATTTTTGATATTTTCGAATGGTTAGGGAATAATTTTCCACGAAGAAGCTTTAATTATCAGTGTAAAAGTACTATCATATATGTGGTAGAATACAATATTTATTTATTGCGCTATCGAACACAATCATGACAATTTATATTACATCAAAAAGTTTATCTCTCAAAAAAATTAACTTACATAAATCACATTAAAGCGCACCTAGCGACATCTATTGTAAAAAAATGCATTTTATTCGCAATAAAGCTGCTACCTGGACGTCTGAGATAAAGACTTATTATTATAATACGATAAAATAAAATCTTACTATGTTTCTTCAAATATATTGAAAGTCAACAACCTTTCCAATTTTATTGTTTTCGTCTTACGAATTTTCGATTAGGTCACGTTTCCTGACGCGAGTTTAACGTTTTTTACCCATACAAAAAAGTGTACAATGCCGCTAAAAAAGTTTTCACTTCAAAAAGTGCGAATCGGGAATGTCGCTCTCTTGCCTACCCTGACCCAATTCCCTACCCCGTGGAGTCCTGGGACCTTACTCACCGTTAGAAACACAACACCACCAAAAGTTAGTGTTATTTTACTATGGTCTTATTTAAGGTGGAGCTTACTTCCTCAGACAGGCGCTGCAGTTCGAGCGGGAAATCCGCTTTGCTTTGCCCTATCTCTCATAAAGAAATGTTCACATTTATACATATGACATATGATTACATAAATTATGCTAAGGTTTATCGATTATATCTGATCCATTTGAAATCTCTTAAATGTCGGCACTTCGTTTGGCTATTCATATTTGGTGTTTGTAAACTTGACAGCAGTCTGTCACTGAAGTCAAGTTTCATGGAGGTTAGAGAGAAGGAGAAGGATCGCTGTAGAATATAGTATCCTAGAAATATGGACAAAATAAGTGAGGCGCTGCGATCGCTAAGTTGTCTCAATAAAAGCGGGCTGTTGTGCGCTAATTTGAAAAGACCAAAGCCGCCAAGAAAATTTGTACATTATTCAACTAACTTCACCTACTTGTACTCATAAACAGCTAACTTCACAGATACTACTTATCGACGGCAGCGCGGCTGGTGGCTGAAAAATGAACTTTAAATTCTACAAATTTTCAGGGACAGGCGGGCTAGTGCTTTAGCACGTAGCGATCGTTCTCCTTCTATCTAACCTCCATGTCAAGTTTACAAATAGCAAATAAGAGCATCCAAGTGAAGTGGCGATAAGAGTGTATATTGCAATTTACAAATAACGAGCGTTGAAGATAAGCCGTTTGGTTATACAGTACTGTAACGCCCGCAGCATTGCAGGCTCTTCGCTTGTATTGTGCTTACAGCTGGCAGTCACAAAATGTGTTTTTTCATTTATTTTGGCAAAAAACAGCCATTTACATAATATTGAGGAACATGCATATATGTAAATATTAATAGACCAAACAGTGCCCGAAGCTTAGTACAGTTATTGTAGCAAAAGAGTCTTAAAATAGTCAGATTTGCACGTGTATTCATCTAATGCTAAACAATTTATTGATATTAAAAATTAAACAACTTACAACAAAATCAGAAATTTCATAAACACATTTTTTTTGGTTTTTGCATCAATATACCATTTAGTTTTTTTTAACTATTAATAGATAGATTACAAAGATTCAAATCAGAGAACTCTTTGTTACGACACATATAAGAATTACGTGTATAGTTTTTACGTAACGGCGAAGGAACAAAAAATTGCAATTGCGCACCGGGAGACGAACTCGTGCTGAAATGGAAATTTTGCTAAGAAGAATGGACGAATCAATTTGTAAGTTTAAGAATTATTTGAAAAGAAAGATAATGTCAATAATTTTACGTCGATTAGAAAGACTAAGCAGTTTATATCTAACCAAAGCTTCACTGTATGATTCAACTGTTACATTGTTGCGAAAGTTAAGAGCTTTGATAAATTGACTCTGCACTCTTTCTATTCTTTGTATATGAATATATAAATTCAAATTATAGAAATCGAGTAAATTTTGTCTCGATTCGATGTTTATCAGAGGATTCGATGTTTGTCAGAAAGAAAACGTAAGAAGTGTTTTCTTTCGAGCTGCGTTTTTCAGGATTTATTCTGGAATCCTTACAGTACCTACTGGCATTTTCTCACGGAGGAGAGTATCGTATATATAACATTGAGTGTCATATGTTCCGTACGCCATTAAATAAATTTATAGTAGTATAGTAGGGCAGATCAATAGCGCAGATGACAAGCGCATTCGTCCTGCGCTCGTGAAACTAAGCAACTCTTGATATGGTCGGTCATTGGATGGGTGACCGAAAACTTATTATCTCGAGTTACTCCGTGCTTTGGAAAGTACGTTGAGCCGTTAGTCCCTGCTGCATCTACAGTCATTAGCACGCACCAATCCGCACTGGGCCGGCGTAGTGGGTCACGGCTTATCATAGTAGAGGCCTGTGCCTCTGCAGTGGGGACATAAATAGGGTGATGAAAAAAACGAGTGTACTTATGACTACACGACTAAAGTGAAACTTCTTTAGCTCCATCTGTATGTAGATACATAATACGAGGTAAAGAATATATAAATATATATATGTGTGTGTGTGTGTGAAAAATATATGTATATATGTACATATACATATTTTATTTAATAGCTATAAGAGAAAGAGAGAAAGAAAATCAACTACAATAAAGTATCATTAGTTCCACAACGCTACCCCGAGTTACCAACGGCAACGTTGTACTTATTCTTATACAATTTCAAGATATTTCGTTTTAAAAATCAGTTAAGTGGTTTATAAAACAGGAATTGGCTCCTTTAGTCTCATTCCGATAGAATTGTTGGGAAAAATTTACTATTGTAATGTACTATTGTAATCCTTTACAATAAAACTTTCTATTAGTGAAAGAATTTTTAAAATGGGCCAAGATAAGTCAGTCAGTGTATCATTTTCTCTCTTTTTATAATAGTAAAGATGACATATCGCTAAGGTAGGTAGGTATATAATGTAACAAAGTATTCAGATCAAACATACGACGACACTGGTATTCGATGGGCAAAAGTGTGCAGTCTACGTTAGCGATGTTTACACAAGAATGTTTGCCCAGCTTGATATCACAAGCTTGGAAAACTTACATACCTATCCTATAACTTGAACGGCGCTTGTCACAACACGGGACGTATGATTATGCTCTCAAGGAAATATGTTACTTTATGACGTCTAATAATATGGTTATAAAATCCTTTCTCCCTTGATTTGTGAATAATGACATGGGCAAAATTAGTGTACCAAATACTTATTGAAAAATAGAATAAGTATAAAGAAGAAAATTATTCACGTTTGTTTTCAATCTTTTTAGGGTTCCGTAGTAATGACAAGGAACCCTTGTAGTTTCGTCATGCCCGTCTGTCTGTCCGTCCCCGATTTTGCTTGGAGACTGTTAGCACTAGAGAGCTGTAATTTTGTGGAGATATGTATATCGATCACGCCGACAAAATGATAGAATTAAAAATTAAAAAATAAAATAGCTCCCCTACATGTAACCTGGGGATGATTTTTTTTCATCGTCACCCCATCGTGTGGGATATCGCTGAATAGATAATTTGATATTTAGGTTTCCAAGACTATTTTTCGATTCAAGTAGCCATTTGCGAAATATTGAACTAAAGTACTGATGTTTGTTCGAGTAGGGCGTCCCTCTAAAAGCTTAAATATTGGCTTAAAAATCCTGGAAAAATTCATGTTAATAGTGCTTTCTATGAAATTTTAAGGAAAATTACAACCGTAAATATAGATTTGTTAGTTTAAGTCGTTAACTTTGATAAATAAAATTTCTTACCTATTGTAAATACCTTGGAAGAAAACATTATTAGTAACATAGGTGATCGTAAAATAAAACCTAAAAAAACTATTAAAAAATCACAATAAAATATGATTAGTTCAACAAAGCTACCGATGGTACCAATGGCTTCTGAATCGTGCTTTCGTTACGTTTTTATAATAAGTATATAAGCACTTCAAAATATCGGCCACCATAGGCATCGTCCCCTGCTCAGGGGCGATCGCGTCTTTTAGTCAGTAAGAGTCCGACATAACCCTGCAGCCGGCTGTAGGTTATCCATGAGGATTTTTTACCCATGCAAGAGAGAAATAAAAAAAACGGCACGTTTTATTTTTTAATTAGTTGATGTATTTTTTTAGTGTGTCTTCGAAAATAAACACATTCATATATTTTACCTTTTTAAGGTTTCTTTTCATCAGCAAACTATTCATCATATATCATCCTAAGTCTATTCATCATCACCGGATTATTAAGTTAATATTTTAATTTGTAGAGGCTTTGAATGTACTTTTCTTACCCAAGGGTGTAATTTGTAACACTTTATGTGCGACTAAAACTCGCAATTGGAAAATTTTTAATAAAAAAAAGCCATTAACATCAGAAATACAAGAAAACTCATTATCCAATGGAGCTATGGCTATGGCGCGGAAATTCACCCAAAACGTTCCGACGGAACTTGCTCTATGGCACATTAATGCTACTTTCAATAATCTATGGAATTACGCCACCTGAAACCATAAGGACGAATAATGTGTTTCAAATGTCACTTAACATCAGGTGGGCTGGAGTCATTTTTCGGACCTATTTATAATAGAATAAGATCCCAAGACTGCCAGACCTCACTTATTTTCTCATGGACGAAATATGGATTATCGAGTAGTATTAGTGTGTACAACGAACGTATACATACTCGTTAACTTGTGCTGTGGGCCAATTTTCACGAATCAGGTGGCACAGGCATGTAAAAATTTTACTCACTTTATTTACTGTCTGGGGACAGATTATTAAGTATGTTGTAGAGAATATTGTAAACAATTTGAAATCAATACTGCCTGACACATTCTGTTCGCAGTATTTAAGCAAAAAACAAAAACTTGCATATTGTCTTAAATAATTTTGATGATTAAATAATAAAAAGTTATATAATTATTGTAAAAGGCTTCCTGTACCCTAGTCTACCATTTTTTTTATATATACCCCGCACTGATTGAATTGAACATAACTACGGGTCCCCGGATTGGGAGTCACCGCGCGTCATGTCCAATGTCCCACTACCCAGTCGCGTTGATGCTATGGTGCATCCCCTCCCGGGCAGTATTAGAAGGCCCGCTGTGGGGCTAAGGGCGGACTCGAGCTCTCCGCTTCCTAGCTCAGTCTCTCCTGTGTTGGAGGGAGTCTGTGTAGGCTTGTTCCTCGAGGACACTCGCCGCGGCCTCCGAGGACGTTATCTCGCAGAAAGAGACCCTAGTCTACCCTAGTCTGGCAGTCTTGTGATTCTATGCTATAAAGAAATAAATAAAAAACAATAAATTTGGATGTGTTTGGTTTCTGTTTTACCAGATAATTGGACTTGTTGTGGAGTTTAATAACATGACTTCGGTGCGCTTTGGAGCATAATATTCTCTTGTCGTTTACAGCTATTGGAAAGAAGACCGGTACGGTCTTGCCGGATCAGGGCTAGGCGAAAAAAGCGTTAGCTTCTTCGTCACAACCGTCAGTTCTTCCGTGGCGTATTGTGTGTAGTTGTGTAATTCTTATGTTTATTGTTAACTTTGCTCCAACTAATAGTGTTCCAAGGCACTTCCGTTTGCTTTTATTCATATAAAGTACCATAAAAAGTCATACAATATTAACCTAAACTTGGTTTATAACATTGTGTTGAACTTTTTTGTGGTATAACCCTACGGCTTTAAGATGCACTATTTTCAGTTACAGAAGATATCTACTCATTTTCGTTTTCAGAATAAAATAAAATATAAAACAAACATGCTATAAAGATACTTAAAAATTCATGAGTAACAAATGAATATTAATTAATGTAAGTAGTTGTTAATTTTTTCGAATTCGAATTTCTAATTATCTTAAATGTCCCTTTGATGTCGAGAGGTGTAATGTTATTTTGCTAAGTACTTACTGATTTAATTAGTTTGCTGTAGAGTTTGTTAATTCATTTCTTTGACAAGAAAGTTTTTTTTTGTTTTTATATTCGCCTCGACTCATCCAAACTTAGCTAAGTACACTTTACGTACTTAAACTATTTTTTTTTACAAAATCAGTGCATTTATAATGTTGCAACTTGTTTTATTTAATGAGTGATGTGCGTGAATACCTTTTTTTTAATTTTGATATAATCGAATTATTTTATGTTTTTAGCGCAAAAGACTTAGACAATGGTGGCTGCTTACTACCTAACATCAGGACTTATTGTCATACTTTTACTAGTTCTAAGTTCCATTTTATTTGTCATTTTCGTAATTTCGTAGATGGCTTTCAAAAGCTACCTCTACATACAGATTACTTTGTTATCCTACCCATAGAATACAAACTATTTAATTCATAAAAGTTTGGACTATTCCAAACAGTTGTTTTATACTTCCGATATTTATATTGTTTACTATAGAAGTATGCGTCGGAACCTCAATTGTGACCAAAGAGCATAAATTCATTAGAAAACGGCAAAAATAAAATTCCATTTAACGCACTTGATTCATACCCGCTTGTTATCAAGTGATTAATTAATTTACAACCAATTCAAAATAAGGTGTTAACTACACATAACGATGGTCGCTAGTAGAAACTACATTTACTGCATTACCTTCCCGTGTGTTCTCAAATAGAGCAAGACGAACTTATTATGAGACCTAATCCGCGATTATTGGCAGAGTAGCCAACTTTTAATGAATTTACCCAGAATCGGTGCGGCAATCATGGAAGATTCCCAGCTAATAACTTTTGGCTTGTGT